TTTACAAACACGTCATAGCTAACACAGCGTACAGCAGAGAGAGACCTGTTTGATCGCACTGTTCAGACTTTCAATGTTTTGAAAACAGGGTACCAAACATAAGGAAAAATAGATTAGTTCTGTGTAGGTTATCTGTTCCTCAGAAAATTAAGTAACAATGTTATTGACTTTAAGAATAAAAGCTGCCACCATACATAACATTAAAAAGAAATTGGTATGTAATATATCCAGAGTCTAAAGCTAATATAAGTAAAACCTATTCATTTTGGCATGTACCAAAACGACTTATGGACATAACTATCCATACAGCACAGAAGTACAGTTATTAGATCATCTGGACATAATTTTTGTCAGTAAAAATCTTAAGATCATCAGAAATCCCTAAAAGAAGGCTAGGTCCTATGTAAAACACATATTCTTTGTTTTTGAAGAAGGAAATAATCCTTCCAAAAGATCCTTTCAATAATGCTTCCCAAAGAGTAGAGTGAGAGAAAAGGATTTTGTGATTATACTTACACTACAATTGAAGATGAAATAGTCATTAATGTTGTTTGCATTCTTTTGCCTTTCTGTCAAAAGTCTTTTTGTTTAAGTCAAAATACAAAAAATACTTTCAACCACAACCATGCAGCTATTCCTTTCAATGTTTCTTTGAGCTGTTTGCTTTTTTACTGAATGGGCATGAGTAGGATATAGCTGTTCTTTTGTGTACACATGTTCCTGCCAAACTTACTCTAAAAGAAAGAGTACAATTGCGTGGGAAAAAACAAAGCAAACCAAAAAACTGAAATAAAAACCATTAAGCTCCTGCCACTTGGAAAATCTGAAATGGAAGTCTTGGAAAATATGGAAAATAATGTTTTAAATATATTAGCAATTGGGCAGATTTTTCAAAGTGCCTTAGAGAATATTCTCATTGTGTGTAATGAATGAAAATTTTAAACTGTCTCCATATGCAATCTGTAGTCAGGCTTTTTTGCAGGCATTACCACTTCTTCTGTGGTACAGTCTTTCAAACATTAAGTAAAAAACACTGATATCCTCTTCTTTTTGTCAGAACACTCCCTCTACTTTCTTAACAGCAATAAATTATGAATAAGTGACTTTGATTCAGATACCAATGAAACACTTAACAAATAAAGTCTGTATTCCTGAACGCTATCTTTGCTGCAGAAAGGTGATCCCCCTCTATGCTTGCTTTCAGTGTGATGTGTGAGTGTTGCACAACCTCGCTTGGCTTTCTCTGGATCTTCTGTATTGTGCAGACTGGGGGAAGGCAGCATGCCCATCTCACACCTTCCTGATAATCCTTTAGTTTCTCCTCCTAAATGGGTTAAAATATGTTTGTTTTTCTCTAAAGGAATGAGCCATTTCCCTCTGCAGACAGTGTGAGCATGGGAGTCTGGCATTAAAAGCACATCCAGTAGTTTAATGGGTTTGGCTGTGTATACATCCGTCTCTGACTGCGCTGACTTCACTGTCACTGTAAGGCCCCTGTACAGCTGGAGGCCTGTAACTGAGCCTGCATAAGAGCAGGCATTAAAGTCTACTGCACTTAATGACTGCACAGCTTGGAGTAGCAATTACTTCATTCTGGGAGAGTGTGAAATCTTACAAAGCCAGAGGGAAACACTGCATTGTTCAACTTGCCGCTCTGTACATACGTGAACAATAGAGGCTGTTTCACAATGCCAGGTTTGACAGTTAAATAAAGTCATTAAAAAAAATTACAGTCTAGCATATGTGGCATAAGAGAGCACCGACAAATTCTGACAGTCACACCAACAACAATACATTATATTTCTGCCTAAGTATGTCCTTTGCACCTTCATGAGCTAAGCCTTTGTTTTTTTCTGTAACTATTTGCAAAGCAGTAATAAATACTCAGGCTCAGAAAAGAAGTATTTCTCATGCCTGCTACTTAATTACAATTTATAGACTCAAGACTAGATTGGTCTAAGATACGTTTTTTCAAGTATTCTCTTCTTGTTTATAGTACGACAGTAGTACCTTATTGCACATTGTTTCTGAGGGACTTACTTCTACAAGTGTGAGAAATTATTTCGTTTGGGGCACTTGACAGCTTTGAACCCTGGCAAAATGACTTTCCCCTTCCGATACAGATCATCCTGTAAACCTTTGTTCATCCTCTGCACCAAGAGCTTCTCGTAGAGCAGTGGATGGTATGCCCCTAAGGTACAAGCTGCATCGTAGTAGAGTTCGTGGTAGTGACATAGGTCGGTCTGCCGGACTGAAGGGATGTATTCGTACACGTGTACTTCATTACACATGGACATCATGATGAGGATACCTGGAGCAAGAAGTGAAAACAAAAGTGAACCTCAGGTTTCATTTTCCTTGCAGAATTTTCCCTGCAGTCATCCAATCCCTTTTTCCTTTCCCGCTTTCCTTTGTTGTTACACATCTTAAGTACTAACTCTGTAAAACCATTAAGAGAAACAATAGTTCTTTTTATTAGAGTGGCTTTCACTTGTTTCTCATACATAAAGATTTCGATCCCTGTAGAGTCAACAGTCATAAAGAAAGGACAGCAGTCATAAAGAAAGAGTGAAAAGCCTGTAAGGATTTGCATTTTACTATCAGCCTTCTGAGTGGTAGACTGCTCTTTCCCATCTCCCTCCATTTACCTTATGTACTGTCCACAAAACATCCCACACAAGAATCCTTGAAACATCTCTGCCTTATTACAATGTTGGTCTTTCTTAGTTTGGACTTGAATCAATTCAACTTTTTCTATCCACTTACTTCCCTCTAACCAGGAATAAATGGCTGAGAAGGAAGCCTAAATACATGCAGAAGGGCATATAAAGAAACATCACCCATATAGTGGTGGCACAGAAGCCCACAGCTTCTGACAATTCTGTGAAAAGTATCACAGAGGGATGGCAAAGAAAGTGAATTCCTACTTAGAGCAGTGCCATCACAAAGAAAAACCCCTGACCATCTCCTGCTCAGCAAGGAGAAATTCACAAAATGACAGCACATATTTATTTCCTGCCACATATCAATGGTTGAGTATCATCAGCACTGTCAATTGCAGTCTTTATAGCTTTGAAACAAGAAATCTGTTACAGCTGCACGTTTTCAAATGGACTAATACCAGATACTGATCAACGGCATGCCTATGCAATACTTTCAAATCAATCGCAGCTTGTGGAAGCCTTTTCTGTTTCACACAGCCATGTGAAAGGAAAATAACATCATAAGTCTTGAACACCATTTTTTTTTTTGAAGATTTCACTTAAAAAATAAATTTGTGAGGAAAATGTATTTATTGGAACACTTGTTGCTCTACTGGTATCCCTATCTGCTGAACATGACTGTCAGCTCTCAGAGGAGGTAGCTGTATAATTCTGCTTACTTGGCACTTAGAAATGAGTAACTCTTGTTACATCAAAGGTGTTTTGGGTAGATCACAGAATATGCTGAGTTGGAAGGGACCCATAAAGACCCAAACTCTTAGCCTTGCACTGGACCATGCCCAGGAATAACATCCAAACGCTGCTTGAACTCTGTCAGGCTTGGTGCTGTGACCACTTCCCTGGGGAGCCTGTTCCAGTGCTCAACCACACTCTGGGTGAAGAACCTTCTTCTAATATCCAACCTAAACCTCTCCTCACACAACATCAGACCCTTCCCTCAGGTCCTGTCACTGGTCACCACAGAGAAGAGATCAGTACTTGCCCCTCCTCTTCCCTCACAAGGAAGTTGTAACTGCAATGAGGTCTGCCCTCATGTCTCCTCTTCTCCAGGATGAACAGACCAAGTGACCTCAACCACTTCTCATAGGGCTTCCCCTCAAGGCCCTTCACCATCTTCATTGCCCTCCTTTGGACACTCTCTAAGAGCTTAATATCTTGCTTATATTGTGGTGCCAAAAACTGCCACAATATTCAAGGTGAGGTCGCACCAGCGCAGAGCAGAGTAGGACAATCGTCTCCCTTGACCAGGTGGTGATGCTGTGCCTGATGCCCCCTGCTGACACGGTTGGCCCTCCTGTCTGCCAGGGCACTGCTGACTCAAATTCAACTTGACATCAACCAGGACCCTCAGGTCCCTTTCCATGGCACTGCTTTCCAGCACATCATTCCCCAGCCTGTATGTATATTCAGGGTTGCCCCATTCCAGGTGCAGAATTCGGCACTTTCCCTTGTTGAACTTCATATGGTTGGGACTGCCCAGCCCTCTAATTTGTTGGTCTCTCTGCAGGGTCTCCCTGCCTTCGAGGGAGTCAACAGCTCCTCCCAGTTTTGTGCCATCTTCAGACTTGCTTAGTATCCCTTCCAGTCCTGCATCCAAGTCATTTATGAAGATGTTGAAGAGCACAGGGCCCAAGATGGAACCCTGTGGGACCCCACTAGTGACAGTTCACCAGTGTGATGTTTCCCCATTCAGTGTTACCCTCTGTGCTCAACTTGTGAGCCAATCGCTCACACTGCATGATGTGTTTATCTCAGAAGTGAAATGAATTAACAAAAAATTATTTTGGTTCATTAATTAAGCAGAGTAATTTTCTGAAGTTTAGTTTGTAGTTTGGGAACACAGAGATTTCAATGGCTTGCTAATGAAAAGAACCCTGTGTTCTCCCTGCTGTGTATCATTAGATTATCAAAATGATTTTTTCCCTGCCTGATGTGTGAAGTAACTGAAAACCAATTACTTCTGTGATTAAATCTTCTTTTATCAGAAATTAAAGGTTCTGAAAATCTTTTATATTGTCCTACAGCTTTACCCTTTACCGAATCTATGGTCTCTGAAGAGCTAAATGTATCAATTTAAAGAAGTTCACAAATTTAAGTGAACTTAAGTCTTAAACAGCAAGAAACACATATTCATGGTGAAAAAATATTTAATCCTTATCTGAGAAAAAAGTAAAACCTTAATAAACCATGTTTCCTTGTCTTGAAGCTGTTATAGAGATGCTATGAATTGTAGCCTGTCAAGCACCTATGCCTCAAGTTGGTTTTTTGTTGTTTCAGTTTTACAAATGCTTTCGTCAGCTGTTCCACTGCCAACCTCCTTCCTCCACTAATGGAGAGCCCACCTGCCACTCCAAGGTAACTGTTATCCAGCTGAATCAAAGGATAGATGGTGGAAATGTGTGCAATAATGAACCGCATCCAGAAAGAGACAGTAAATTGACTTCTCCCCTGAGCCCAGAGCCAAGCCTGGAGCCAATTTCAAAAGTTGTACCACCACAGTCTTAGGAAAATTGGCTCTGATGGAAAGTACAAGCCTTAACCAAAACGTGTTTGTTTTCACTGTCACATCACCAAGTTTACTTTAAAAGTAATAAAGGAAGTTCCTATTTGTGGGATTGGAAAACTATCAAGAACAAAAATTGTGACTCTTTCCTAATCTCCTTAATAACAGCAAAGATAGCCACAAAACTGCCAGATATGGTTCCATAATGACAAAATTTTAAGCAGTATCGACTTTCCTGTAAATTAATTAAAGGAGGACTTACAAGTGGTAGAGTTTTAGTTTTTAGTGATCTTTGGTTCAGTGTCCTCTAGAATCAATCTAAAAGGCACGCTGGGCTATGCAGTTTAGTTCCTTACCCTTCCTGCCTTTTTCCATTTAATCCATGTCTTGGGATTTCAGATTATGTTACTCATAAATAACTGTAACTTCTGACAGTCCACTCACATTTTCGCTCACGTTGGACAGTGATGTTTGGCAGGAGGAAAGACAGTGACTTGACAAGCTAGTTTCTGAGTGGTAACAGCTAACTTATAGCACATTCTTCTGTTGAAGTCTAGGGTCAGCAAACTGAAAGATGAGCTATGACAACATGTAGAGATAACCACATACAGAATGTGTCCCTGTGCTGGAGGCTTATCTGTCCTGGTGGAAACAGGAACACTCCTGATACTTCCAGACCTCATGCACACATCAAATGCTCAAACCCTACTCTGGGGAAAAATGGTGGTCAGTGCCAGACACTTCCTCCTTTAGCCCCTCTGACACCAATGACCTTCAGCCAAGGAGCCCAGAAGTGTGATACAGCCAACTGTCCAAACCATATGTGGGTCATATCTCAGGGCATGCAGGATTACACACACAATCTACAGGAACCTAAGGAGGTAGGTCCCTCCACTTAAGTGTCACAGCCCCCAGATTCTTCCTCAGAATGATCTGCTCCTGCTGTTTTGCACTACATTAAAAAAGAAGAGGGGGTAGAGAAGGAAAAAAAAAATAAAAGGCTCTTTTTAGAAAAGAAGCCATCTCCTTCGTATAAATACAGTCCTCTGAAAACAGCGAATAAATGGGTTAATTTCTGTCTCATGCCTTGAAGGATGTGAATCCCCCTCCACATAGGACAGTCTTAGTGCTGTAGAGCTATTACTGCAAACTCAGTTTACAAAAAAAATTGAGCATCTTTAAAAGAATAGCACCAGTTTAGGCATTAGGACATTTACATTAGTTCATGTGCTAGGATATATTCAGTTTTTATTCTATTTTCTTTCTAATATAATGTCTAGCTTGTTTTTCTTAATTCCCTAAAACAGGGCTGGCAACAGAGCTCCCCACTACAGGTCTCACATTCCATCCCATGTGTTTTCATACCACTCTTCATCCCAGTTTCTCTCTGCTTGGTTTCAACAACATCACAGTGATTTACTGACACCTGTATCCAGTAGGTATAAGAGTGCCAAGCCGTCTATATTTTCATCTACCTCACAACTCATTTTTCCCATCTTCCCTTCTCTCCTCAAGATCACCTTCAGTGATTTTAAGATTTTTTTAAATCGCCTATAGCTTTTTGGCACTTAAATAACCCCCAATTTTTTTTTTTTTTTACATTATGCTCGAACTTTTATGTGTTGGGTGCAGTCTCAAAGATAAAGAAGAGGTATGTGCCTGACTGTTTACTGACTTAATCTTGGTTCTGTTAACCCATTTTGCTTGCCCATCTACTCTGAGAAGTCCTATGTTAGCTTCTATTTGTTATCTTTACACATCTCTTTCTGTGTTATTGCTTCCTAAATCTTCTGTTGCTGAATTTCTTAGCATTTTCTCCCACACATATTAACCTGTAGTGTCCTAGTGTGCCTTGTTTTATTTTCTTTCCCTGTACTGCCCATGGAGTACGTGTCTATATACTTATTTCTTTTGTCTGTGTACTTTCACATCAATGTCCAATTTAACATCATCTGGAAGTCTGTTTCATATCTCAAGACTCCTCCAGGATTATCGGTATGAATGGGAACAGCACCATTTGATAGCCTGTACTGTGAACAATTTCCATATTTCCATTTCCACTTCAATATTTGTCTTTGTTAACAGTCCTTATGTTAATTTTCAGTCAATGCACAATTACTGAATACAAAACGGCACAGACTGGCACTGACACATGATCGAAGGAGCTATTAATAATCAGGATGAGACAGTCATTGTCCCAAAATCATATAGAGTCTGGACAGAATTAATCTTACTGAAATGTTCATGCCCATTTCTGACCTTGCTGACCTACAGCATTCTTTACAGACAATGCAGGAGACAGGTATTTCTAGGGCAGAACTCAGAATCATTTTAGATGTCTCCTTTAGGATGAGATGAATTGTTCACTTACAGGGAACTTTGTGACTAGACAGAAACTCAAGAGTCTGGAGCTTTGCTATCAAGAACTTTCTCCTCTACTCTCCTATGTAAGTAGATTTTGAAACTTTATGAAAAAGTATTATAATGGGCTTCTCCAGGAGCACTGTGAGAAGAAATGAAAATGAGGTGTGACCAAATATGCCACCGGTGCAGTTACCCACACCTGAGATAGGTATCACAAGCTCCTTTGCTGTCAGTAGAAGAATACCACGCTGGAAAAAACAAAAAGGATTGTAAGTATAGAATACTCTTTGAAAAATACTAAAAAATATATTATTCCTAAGAAATTACGTGGTTGTCAGAGAAACAGTCAAATGGCAACTCTGCATAACAGTACAATATTAGATGCTTATACAGTTTTATGTATTTCAAAATATTTTATATTAGTATTTCAAAATCTATGGTGTTAGGAAGTATTTGGTATGGTTTAAACTCAGTTCAACTGGTACAAATAAACTGAGCTTTAACAATCTGCACTGAGAACATTTAAATCAGAATTAAATGATGATTAAATTCCTTGCATGGGTGATTTATACAAATGAGCATATACTATGGATTCTAATCAAAAGGAAAAAATGTTTTTCAATTTGTTCTTGGCAATTTGAATAACTCCAAAGGTTTTGACTTTCCAACACAAATCTTGAATAGTTCAACTAGGCTTTGTGGTTAACACATTGATTTAAAAAAGAATGTTCTCTAGTTTACAAATAAATAAAATACAGTTTAATACACCTGAATCAACAGATGCTGTATGAAAGCATCTGGAATAATAAGTGTAATTCAAGCATTCAGGGAGAATGCAGAATCATTTTAACAAAATGTAAGAGATGAAATAAACATTTAAATACATATAATCTGATTATTATACTCATAATGTGTCTCATTTCACACACACCACAAATTAGTTACAGTAAAGAATTTAGCTAGACACACTAGTAAATTTGTGTTTGCTAATCTGTGCACTTGAAAGCATTACAAATAAACATAAAGCATTTAGGATGTCTAGTTTGGTATATGTTACTCTACTTCTATAGTCTCTCTTGACTGGATTGCAGGTATGACAGGAAAATATATATCCTTGAAACTGGGCCAAATGTGCCTGAATTATTCTTTGGAACATGTAGTAAAAGTAGCTCTGGTTTTTAAAAATACTGTGTTTCTAAAAAAAAGGGTTTCTTTACCTCTGTTCAGTTCATGAACTATGTGACAAATACTAAACACAAGAAAACCCAATTATTTATTGAAAAATTGTCACCAAATGGCCCTGTGCCTAAGCTTAATAAATTGTGCGAGACTTGTCATCTTTGCTGTATAAATATTTGCATTATATAGTAGACCTAGAAAATTACGTATTTATCACTTAATGGTGAATGCAAAAAGCCATACATTAATCACAATAATATACTCTGTAATATGAGCATAGACTGGAAAATGCTGACCAATTATATAATTTTAAATGTATTATTCAATTTTGGGTGATGCACTAGAATAGTAAAAGGTTTTTTATGTGATTTAAGAGGAGAGTTTGCTCTTTTATGTCTGTTTTTTTGGGAAGTGGGAGATACTCAAATTTCAGCATGCTTTTTGTTACAGTAAAGAATAATTTAAAGCTTATATATTCAAGGTCTTATTTATTGTTTGCTAATACTTGAACAACACTGAGTTGGAAAGAGTAAGCGCTATTTTGTTCCTTCACCAACTGCTGATAAAACAGCCGAGTAAGTAACAGCAATAAAGGCAACTCTTAGTACGTCTAATTGTTTCTTTCAATTCATGCAAGTGTTATTTTTTTTCTAAGCAGAGCTGGAGATCAGCTGTATACTTCTGTTCAACATGCTCTCTGAAGTGATTTTAAATTTTAAGTTCTTAGTCATACAGTGACCTGCTAATGTTGCAGTGTAATGATAGCCTTGCTCTTACTATTGTCTTGATGCATGCAAATGAAGATTAATGTCATCAACTATTTTAACGACATGTAACTGTTAAAACTGTAATGTCAGCTGTAAAGCCTCAAACAACACTTCCTTTCTCCCAACAATAAAGTCATCTGGGCTTAGTTATTTTGTGTTTAGTGGATTGTATATTATGCTAAAAGCTGTAATACATAAAAAAGACTACCACCTACACAGACAACCTAAAATGTAAAAATCTAAGAAGTCCATGTAAACCCCCTGCAGTCACATCTTTCACAAAGATAAAAGTTGCTGCTCTGTAAGAGTATATAAATGTGAATTTCAAGCAAAGTCACCTCCGAAGAGGTAAACTAGCAAAGTGTATTGATGGACTACAGTAAGGAAGAAGTCATAGAAAGTACAGTTAGTAAACAGTGGAGCAAAATCTTCATAGAAAAGCCTTTATATAATCTAGACATATTAAAAAGCCCCCAAACTTCTGAATGTTGATGTACCCAATGAACACAGAATGCTACTCTTGAGAAACACAAAGAAGCAGTTTCAGTCTTGGTCTTCAGATGACAAAAATTTAAGGTCAGAATAGGTTGTTTACATTGGCTATCGGTGAGGGTACAGGAACAGTCTTTTCTTACAACAGAACAGTAACAATAGAGACTGCCAATTCATATACCAGCAACCTCAGTTAAAAACTGAGCTTTGATATGTACAGAAAGAGGGAAGGAAGATTGAGTTCATATTTCACAGTGAAAAAATGTATTAATAGGAAGTGAAGAGGGAACATTGCTGCTGCTAAAAGGTAGGGCAAATCCTTCCCTAATAACAGTGACATTTTCTTAACTGCCAAGTTGCTCTCTGAGAAAAATGGTGTAAATCCAAGTCCAAGATGAGATGTAAACATATCAATACTCATTTAGCAAACCCATTTTTCAGCCAAACATGAACCAACAACTTTAACCACAAAAAGCTGCCATGGTAATGGCCTAATGCAAGATGACAAGAATACTGTGCAGAGATTTCTTTAAAAACGTGAAAGCAGCAGCTGCAAAAATGATGCAAAAATATGCAAGAATGGGTTCTCAAAGATCTTATAAGGATTAGATTAGGAAGACAAAGAGTAAATAGTGTATAATGACGAGGGACATTAGCTAAGGTCTGACAAGCCACATAAGGCAAAGTTACAAGCCAGAGAAAGTCCACACTGGTGTCTCAGCAAACAGATGAAAAAAGTCTTCCAGATTAAAATAAAAAGTTTGCTTTACCCTGTTGGACCCTGTTTGTTTTTTTTGTGCTACCCACAAAAAAATAGCCTCTTTTCCAAGAGGCTTAATAATATTTTGACTTAAGTACTGTAATACAATTATTAACAACATTAAGAGATTCTTGACATCAGTCAAGGCTTACTGATGCAGAAGAACACCGTGAGTACACATTCCACCAAGTATCCTCCCTTTGGGAAGATTCAGTTTCTTAAAAATAGTGCTAAGAGGCA